TCCACATCACATTGTTCACTGGCTGCCATCAGGGCAGCCCTAAAATGAGAATCATACAATGGTTTGGGTTGGAAGGGACCTTAAAGCTCATCCAGTTCCAACCCCCTGCCATGGGCAGGGACACCTTCCACTAGCCCAGGTTGCTCCAAGCCCTCTCCAACCTGGCCTTGGACACTTCCAGGGATGGGGCATCTAATCTGGGAAAAACAAACAAAAAAAACAACCCCCAAAAGACCAAGGCTCAGTGTTTTATAGAACAAAAATCAGACAACCTGAGTTCAGTGCTTCTGAGGGAGACACAGCTTATGGGTTTCAGGGTCCTGTTGGTGAAGACAATTCAGATAAAAAAAGCAAGAAATTTAGTAGAACTTGTGCTCAGTGAAGAATCTGAGAGAAAAGGGGCACTTCCAGCATGCAAGTGAGCTGCACTTTGAATGACAGGCCTGAGAGTTGTGTCTTGTGCCAGAACAGCCCCTGTCAGGTCAGAAGCTGAAGAGCATGGTGCAGAAAGTTTGCAATTGCACCAAACTTCCAATCTTTTTAGTTATTTTGAAGCATTTAAGTCATTTTAGGTGACATTTCATTCATTCTCCATGTGGTGTCTGTGTCAGAGGCGTGTGGGTGTGGATGAAGAAGAGTTTGTTGGGAAGCATGAACAGAAGAAAGGTCTATTTTTTTTTTGAGGGGGAAAAGAGTAGATATTAAAAGGCAAGCTTTTCTTTTCAGGACAAGACAAAACTTAGGTGTTTAGAAGCATCTCAAATCCTTTGTTTTAAGCTTCTGATATCTCCAGGAGCTGCAGAGTAGGAATTCAGGAGGGCTGTAAGTGGCTTCAGTTGAACCTTGTGCTCCATCCCTGTGCCATGGAAACTCGGGAATGCCCAGCTCTTTGTGCCTGGGGGTGCCTGTAACAGTTTTTTTCTCATCTCTGCTGTTTGATGCATGAAGCCTTTTTTTCACTTTCAAGAACTGTTAATGATAACTTGTCCTGTTTCCCCCATTTCTAGGATTCGAACAGTGTTGTTGCCGCTCTCTTCATAGACTTCAAAAGTTCCCTGCTTCCTCACCTCCCAGTTGAATTCCATACCCAGAACAACTTCCTGATGATTGCACTTTTCCCCAAAAGAAAGATTTACAAAGCTTTTTACTCACAGGTAAAGGAAAAAAAAAAAGATTGGTAAGCTTTCCTTAAGTTCTTGTCTTGTCAGTCTTATATTTCTGGAAGTTTGAAATTCAACGGGATGAAATTTTTTTAGCTTTTAAAGAAAAAAAACCACCTCAGAATATTTATGATAAAGAGGCTCCAGGGGGTAAAATGAAGCCAAATGCAATCATAATGATATATAAAATAATATATAAATTATGGGGAACCCCATAATTACCATGTTTAAGATGAGACACAAGGGTGAGTTTGGTGCCTGTATTAACTAAGTTTGGAGAGAAGGGCTTTATGTCTCACATAAATTGAGCCCCTAAAGCTTGTTGCCTGATGAGTAAATACAGGAAGAGTTAAAATTCTTTCATCAGTCTTCACAAACAAAACCTTTTCAACGTAGAATCAATGTAAAATCTGCTGCTCTGGGATCTCCAGGGTCTCTCTTCCAACTGGGAACTCTGATTCTTTGTGTGACCTGTGGCATCTGCCTCGCAAACTCAAGCTTATCAAGGACTAGACCATGCCAGGAGTGTTACTGCTCCTGTTCTCAGGACCTTGCATGTGTGAGAAGCCTGAATTTCTGTCTGGATTTCTAGGGTGGGTGGTGTTTGTGCAGTTTAATGCTCCCCATGTGCTTCCCTTTGCCTGCTCCGAGAGCTCCTTTCCTGGGAGCTGCATTTCCATGTGTGTCCTTGGCTGCAGCAGTTCCATGGGCTGGCAGAGGTTCCATTGTGTGGGGTTTTTTTTGTGGTCAGACACATTGGGATCCCGGTTCTTAGGGAAGTTCTGTGGAGGGCTTTAAGTCTCCCATATGGCATTGTGTTATGCCCTAAATGGATTGCCTTCCTCCAGAGTGCTGCAGAGGCTTTTAATAAACCCAGCTTGGGAACAATGGTGCTTTTGAGGAAACGAGCCTGGAGATTTTAGGACTTCACAAGGGCTTTTTAGGATGTGATCATCACACTGGACTGGGAAAGACCACCTAGCTCAGTGAGTAGTCCCCACTGGAAGTATTAATGGCACCATAAAATGTCCCCTCCTTTTATCTTAAGTGTTTAAATTCTTCCCACTGTTCCACTCTGTGAATGGCTGGGAATCTGTTTGTTTGGTTTGGGATTTTCAGCCTATTTTATGAGTTCTACTTTTATATCTGTTTTATTTTTCTCTCCTCTCCCAGCACACACCCTTGAGATATCCAGAAATTTCAGACCTATTCTTTCTGCCTTATTTGGCCTAATAAAATAAAACCAGATCCTTTGTAATCTGTGCCTATAAAAAGTTCTCTTTTCTTCTGAATGTTGTAGTGCTTTTCTTTTGATCTTTTTTTTTTTTTGGCTGTAGACATCCGAACTGTGTGCAGTGTCTGAGATCATAGAATCATAGATGAGGGGGTTTGTTTCCTGTACAGAGGCATTAACAATTCCCTGCTCTGAAAATGTTCTGAGATCCCCTTGGTTTGCCTTTACTTTTCACTGCTGCCTTGGATTCACAGATTCACAGACCTTCAGGTCCTTCCTCTCTTGCCCGTTGATGTTCCAGCTGATTTTAGAAACATTTCTTCCTTTCATGCTTACCTTCCTCTTATTTTTCCTTCCATTTCCTCCCAGAATGTTTCTAGCATTCTTAAATTTACTTTTCTATGAGGCAATCTCCCAGCTTAGCTCCCCAAAATGCTGTCAGTTCACTTCAGCCTCCCAAATTCATTGCAAAGGATATATCCCAGGGCATTCCCTGAACAACTCTGCTGCTGGACTTGCCCAGCCTCTGCTGCTTTTTCTCAGAGCTACTTATCCCTGTCCTCCTTTGAATTCACTTTTTGCCACACAGGGGTTCAGTTTCTGCAGTTGGAAGTTTCTCATCTGGCCCCACACCAAGTCGCTTTGCTAAAATTCAAGTCAATAAAACAAATCCTTTTGTCTTAAAGATGTTCCCTCCTGAATAAAAACTCTCCATCAGGTGGAGTGCCCCCGACTGTTTGAGCCTTGGAAACTCGTTATTGTGGTTTGTCAGGTTTTACCTTCAGGTGTTTATTGATTTGCACCAAAATTCTTTCTATGAATCCACGTGCCCTTGAAGTCTCACAAGGATTCACTAAGATGGAGGTGCTGGTTTTACTCTTCTAAATCATCATACCTCACTTACTGGACCTGTGCTTGGATTATTCCAAGCTTCCTGGAAAGAGGGAATGGCAGTTACCTGTTCCTGCAGACCTGGGTTTGTTAAAAACTGAGGTGGTGGCAGGATTTTGAGCACACAGAGCTGAAATCTGGTTTTACAAATCCTGTGAAAATGGGACAAAACCTTTCACATCCTCCCTCTCATGGGTAAGGGAGGAAGATTTGTTCAGGCTTTGGGATGTGTTGATTTCCCTTGTTTTCTCCACCTTCTCTAAAGCCATAGCAGCTCTGTGTTTTCACTTCATCCCCAGCCCTTTTCCTCCTCCAAAATACAATTTTCCCTTCTTCCCATCCCTTGGAGGCATTTCCTTTAGTCTCTCCTACATCTTTTGAAGTGGCTGGTTGTTTTTTTTTTTTTTTGGTTGCCTGGATCTTTTCTGCCCAGGCAATATTGCCTTTGTTAAGATCAGAAAGATCTTTTATTCTGCTGGTTTTTTATCTCCTACCCTGGTGTTTGGGATGCTGATTTGTTAATGGGAAGCAGTTGTCTCCCCTCCAAGTTGTTTTGTCTCGCAGAAAGTTATTGTGAGAAATGACAATGGCTGTTGCCTTTTCCTCAGGAAAAGAAGGGAAATACCGAGCCCTGACTGTGTGATTCATCTGAATCTGATTTCTAGGTTCACAGTGCCAGTCAGATTAATGTGCCTTGGCTGGAGCAATGGGATGGGAGCCAAAACATCACTCCCTGGAGGAATGAAGGGCTCCCTTTGCTTTTGGGAAGGAGCAGAGTTTTTCTTCAGTGTCTAGAAATGTTTCTTGCAGTCCTACCTCATGAAAATGATAATAGGACTTAAAAGAGGCTTGAATTAATTCAATTCCTGCTGTTCAGCACTTGGGTTATAAACACCTACGTTTTTATCAGGGAAAACTAAAGTGTTTCAGTGAAGTTACTTCTTAAAGCAGTTCCAGCCCAGCCACAGAGGTCACAAAACCTGATCTGTGGAGACTTTTGCCATCATTTGAATTCATGGAATGGTTTGGGTTGGAATGGGCCTTAAAGATCATCTCATTCCAGCCCCTGCCAAGGGCAGGGACACCTTCCACTAGCCCAGGTTGCTCCAAGCCCCATCCAGCCTGGCCTTGGACACTTCCAGGGATCCAGGGACAGCCACAGCTTCTCTGGGCAATTCTTGCAGCAAACCCAGTCTTGTGTAATATTTGATGACCAGTGAAAATGGCTGAACAAATGGACAATCAATCCCTGAACAAATGGAAAGCAAACTTGGGACAATAACGATGCTCATGCCCAACTCTGCTTTGCTCCAGGTTTTCTCCTCGTGGCAAAACCAGACAAGCTCAGGATTATCTTTAAGGGTTGTCCAGGAAGAATTCCTGTCTGTGGAACAGAAGAGAATGTAAGTTGATGCCAGTGCAGTGCAATTCCACATGAACTGTGTGCTACAGTCAGAAAAATGCTGTTACTCATTGATTTGGATAAAAATTAAAAAAAAAAGAATCGTTGCCTTCTTAGTGCAACACTCACTTTATTTTTTTTTGTACTATTTAATATGTAGCCACGTGGTTTAAAGAACATCAATGTTTATAGGTTTCTCCTTTAACTAATTAATTAATTAATTAATTAATTTACTTCTTTTAGGCATTCCAGTGTTCAGAAGCTCTTTAATGCCTTGTCTTTTCCTTCTGGGGAAAGATGCAGGGAGCTGAAATTATCCTCTGCCCTTCCAGAACTGGAGAGGTGAGAAGCTATTTTTGTGTTCAGGGGCTGAGTTTTGTCAGAAACGATATCAAATTATTTTGGTACGTGTGGTCATCTAAAAATTGCTTATTAAATCATTCTTAAATCGTTCTGTTGTGAGAGGAATTCTTCCCTCTCTAGTTTGACCTTTGGATAATCTTATTTCAGCGATTTCCCGGCTATTTTTACGAATGAAATCTTTTGCTCGTGGTTGTAAAGAAAATAAAACCTTTTATTTTCGCAAGGTTTGTGAGGCATTTCACCATCAGCAGCGTCAGCAACAAGCCAGTGGTGAGGGCACATCTCCCTGTTTTGTTGCAACAGTCAGAAACCACTCCTGAGAGCAAAGCAGAGAGTGAGAAGGTGAGGACAATAATAATAATAATAATAATAATAATAATGATTCAGTACGAACTCAACAGTAATTCCTAGTGTAGAATATTTAATAAATGTTGCCATTAGGGTAATAAAAGCACTGCTGGATGTCCAGCCATGCTCTGCCTCCTCCTCCAGCACCACCAGCTCCCACTGAACTGGATTCTTAGAATATGAATAATTTTCCTGGTTACGTATTTAGTTTTTTTTCCCCACTTAAACAGTCTTTTGGAAGTACAAATGGCTTTTCAGCCTGGTGAAACAGAGGCAGAAAATGAGGTGTAAATCTTCAAGTTTTCTCTTCTGTCCAGAGAGACTTGGCCCTAAAGCAGCAGCTTGTTTTTATGAATTGCTGCATAATTTAACTGAATTGTTCTCTGGAACATAAAAGTCCTTTAAATAGCATGGAGGGAGCACATGATATTTAACATTTGCTGATATTATCTGTAGAACACTCCTTTCTCTATAGGGGCAGTAACAATTGGTCAACTTAAGGCCTGCTTTAAATAGCATTTTCAGAGAAAATATTTCCTTGTCACTTCCCAGCATTTGAAACCTGCTGAAAGCAACCAAGTCAGAGCAGCAGGAATATAATTCCCTTGGAATATTGCAGTGTGGTGGCACTCATTTCCTGGGATCTGCTTCAGAGACCCCACTGACACTTAATTCATAAACACTTGGGAATGATTTTAAATCTGATTTTAAGGTTGGTTTAACTGTGTGTGTTTAAAAAAGAAAGAAAAACGTGTTTGAATGTTCCCTTTTCATCATGAAAACAAACTATTTGGTGTCTTTTCCGGTGTTTCTGTGGTTACTGTCACTTCATTTTGTGTTTTGAGTTAAGATTTTATCAAAATAGCAGCCTTGGGGGTGTTTAATTGTTGTAGCTCATTGCTGATGTTGGGGTTGTCCCCTTCTTCCCTGTTCCCTGTTTTCCAGGTGATCATCACCATCCTCACTGGGCTCCCAGGATGTAGTTCCAGTGATCTCTGTGCTTTCCTCGTCACCTTTACCAAGGAGTATGGAAGGTTTGTGCAGTCCTGGTTATATTAACCACCAAGAAACAACCTGACCTGATTAAATTATCGATGTTTAATTGTTATTTTTAAACCTCGTTTCTGATTTGTGAAGAGAAGTGTTCTAAGAATAAAGTCAGTAAACATTTTTGAGGTCCCGTAGGGTCTGTTACTTCACTTTTCTGACTTCAGGTATCTCACCTAACTGTGTTTCCAGGTAGATTTGCCCTTAAATTTTAGATATTCAGACAGAAAAAATGGCCCAGGAGGTTTCTTTGTTGCTGTTCCATGTTAGGAAAACCACAGGAATCCCTGCAGATCTCACGTGTACCTGGAATACCACTGAGGAGTAATCTCAGAAGGGCCAAATGAATCCTGCCTTAAGCAAGGATAGAAGGTGCCACAAACTGAAGGAAATGAGTGAAGAGCTTCCTTTTTTTGGGGGAAAAGACTCTCCTGGCACTCCTTGTTTTTAATGTGACCTGATTTCTATTCTGCAGGAGCAGGAGGTGCGTTCAGGACATTATTGTGTGGCAATAAGATAAATGTACGGGAGGAATTTTTTCATTCTTGTGTGTTGATATTTCTTCTGGAAAATCAAAAGAAACAGTTGTTATCCTTTTGAATCTTGCAGCCAAACACCTCAGCATTTCATCTTAGTCATGTTCTGCATGTTTTTCACTTTTAACTCAGCGTCCTGATATTATCAAGTTGATTCAGGGGAGTTTTTTGGTTCTCTTATAGGGCAAGGTGACTTTTGAAGGTTGTGTAAGAATACTTTTCCTCACGTTTCCTGCAAATGTCAGCGCTGTTTTCCATTTTTGCAGTGAAATATTTTCATGCCCGGAGTCTTTTGAATTGGATTTGTATCATTTTTAATGTTTACTGCAGCACTGACGGTGATCACAGTTACTGCTGTGATGCACAGCTTGGAAAAAAAGCCGTTCGACATTGTTTTATTAAAAAAACAACCAAACAAAAAAAAAAACCTCATGGCACTAATGTAAAGAATGTGCCTGTGCTGGAAAGGACAGAAAGCCAAGTCAATCCCCCTTTCCCACGTGGTCAAGTGGAATGAGCTGATGATGAGATGGTGAGAGATGTGGAATCTCGGGGTTGTCAAAATTTATTCTCAGTCTGTTGGTTCAAAATAAAAAGAGAACAGAAATGTTATGTCACAGAACGTGAACCCCTCTCCTTGTTTCCTGTTGTTTAGGTGGATTGTTTACAGGCAAACCATGGATAGTCCAGAATGTTTCAGTGCCACCCACTTCCAGAGGTACCTGTCCGGGGTCCTGGAGGCTCAGCAGAACCTCGGGGGCCGTCAGTCCATGTTCTCCAAAAAGAACAAGAGGCTCCTGGTGGTCCTGCAGGGGTGAGTGTTTGAAACTGTGGGAATGTTGCAGAGAATAAGAGATTTTTCTATTCCTTTCCTATTTCCCAGGCATTTTTAAATTTTCCCTTTAAAATTCTCAGCTCCAGTGTGGCACTCTGGGAATTCTGTTTTATGTGTGTACTAAACTCAGCTTTTCTGCACCTCTTGATTTTATTGGTTGTTGCTCCTTTAGAAGGAATGTCCATGGGATTCCTTCAGTCATATGGAAGCAATGGGCACTCACAGCCCAGACCGCCCCATGCCCTGGGCTGATCCCCCAGCGTGGGCAGAGGGCAGGGGGGAATTCTGCCCCTCTGCCCCTGTCTCAGCTGAGACCCCCCTGCAGAGCTGCTCCAGCCCTGGGAACAACAGCACAGGGACGTGGAGCTGCTGGAGAGAGTCCAGAGGAGGCCCCGGAGCTGCTGCCAGGGCTGGAGCCCCTCTGCTCTGGAGCCAGGCTGGGAGAGCTGGGGGGGTTCCCCTGGAGAAGAGAAGGCTCCAGGGAGAGCTGAGAGCCCCTGGCAGGGCCTGAAGGGGCTCCAGGAGAGCTGGAGAGGGACTGGGGACAAGACATGGAGGGACAGGACAAGGGGTGTTGGTTTTAAACTGAAAGAGGCTCAATTTAGACTGGACATAAGGGAGAAGGTTTTTACAGTGAGGGTGGGGAGGCCCTGGCCCAGGTTGGGCAGAGAAGCTGTGGCTGCCCCTGGATCCCTGGAAGTGTCCTAGGCTAGGTTAGAGCAATCTGGGCTAGTGGAAGGTGTCCCTTCCCATGGCAGGGGGTGGGACTGGATGATCTTTAAGGTCCCTTCCAACCCACACCCTCCTATGATTCCATGGCTGTGCCCTCTGGAGCTGCCAGCACAGAGCAGGGCTGTCAGAACTCTTTGCCTGATGAAAGAGGTGATATTGGAGTAACACTGATTAACATGTTTCTGAGAAATGCCAGTTTTCTTGTGGAATAAAGGTGAAGACTCTGAGCCACCTCTGTTTGACATTTCCATCTCCAGGGTAGCATTTGAGGACCAGGATCACCTGCAGCAAGTTTCCCCCCTGTTTCTGAGTCATTGTAAGGTGACACAAACTAACCAACACACCCTGACCTGACTGGAATGGTTTTGCTTCCCAGGATTCAAAGTGTTCATCCCTTTCACTACATGGAGCTCAGCGTTTTCTTCATTATAAACCATTCTGATAGTGCTAAAAATCATCATTTTTTTTCCATTTAGGGCCACATTTACATTTTTTTTTTTTTACTCAGAGTTAGCAGGAGTGGTGTAAAGTCCAGCAATGTGCAAAATAACTGGTATTCTGTAGCAGCAGTGGCTTCAGGAACAGCTAATTGGCAGTTTTCCATCCTTTCTGGATAGTTGGATATTGGTACAGACAGCTCTTGAGTAGCTGGAATTCTCTAAATAATCCATTAACTTGCTACCTGACAGCACAGTTTTGAGAGAAGGTTGTGACTGGCTGAGAAATAAACACCTGGAATTAAAACTCAGGTTCACTTAAACTTTGTGATCACACAGAAGTAGGACCCAGCAGTGTCTGGAGCAGTGAATAAGAAATAAACTCATTGATTATATTAAAATTAATAGATACATTAATTACAGAAGAATATTTAAATTGGGATGCTGATAAGTGAGAGGGTGTTGCTTTTTTATTTCCTTTTTTTTTTTTTAATTTGACTTGTGTTTAATATGCTTGGCATTAGGTGTAACTTATTTTTGTTATATTATGCTTTTTGTGCTTCCTGAAAGCTGGACTTTTTATCCTGCTTTTCTCTCTGTGTTGTCAGTAATTATTTTTAAGGTGACTCTCAATCAGCTCGATTTGTCTGGATTGGCTTAAATTGGATGTGCCAAGTTTTGAGCTGCTTTCTCACTGTTCAATGGACCTTTTTTAGGAATCCAACCTTCTTGCTAGTGAGGGATTTCTTCCTAAATGGTGGAATGTGCCCTTCTGTTTCTCTAAAGCCACATTTCATTCTCTTCTCTTCCAGATACACTGACGTTATTGATGTTGTACAAGCTCTGCAGACTCACCCTGACCCGGATGTGAAATCTTCCTTCCTCATTGGGGCAGTGAACACCTGTGTGGAGCCCCTGAGCTGCTACATGGAGCACAGGTATGCTTTAAAATATATTTATGAGTTTAAAAGCAGATATGTGCATTTATAAGATCACTTTTATAATAATTAGGGATATACGATGGTTAAATGCCAGTGAAGTGTCTTAAATCTCATAAAACTTGGAAGTGCTCTTTGATTTATCAGGATGGCACTTGGTTTCCACAGGGTATAGAATTATATATTATATTAATGGAAGTTTAGCTTCTGGAAGAACAAACTGAATCTGCTTAAATACATAAGTCTAGGTAAGGACTTTGTATAATGTGGACAGCCCCCTGTCCCTCTAAATCATTTTATTTCTTACAACCCTTTTTGGAATTTGGACTGAAAATCGAGACGTTCGTCTGGGTTTGGGTTATTGATTCTGTCACTGCTTTGGGCCGTTAAAGGAAAGACTTTGCAGCCTTTAAACGTGGAACTGAAGGGAAGCAATCCCAAATTCAGTGGAAGGGAATGACAAAGCAGTGAAGCCAAAGCACTGCAAGTGTTAAAACCCGATATCCTGGGTCACTGCAGAGCCAGGGTGGGGAGGAAACGCTCGCCGAGCCAAGTCGGTGACATTTGAAGGCAGCGTGCCTTGGTTGCTGTTCCGTGGTAGATGTGTGTGCTCCAGACTTCAGCAAACGTGGGAATCATCTCTTAGATTTCTCTGTGAAATTGTAACCCTCCCCTTTTTTAATTATGCCTTGCAGCTGAGTTGATCAAAGTAAGTGGAAGCAGTTAGAGTGTTCGGAGTTGTTAGCGTTGCTTCTGTTTGTGAGCCAACTCTGTGCACCACAGCTTAGAGCTGAACTGCCCGAGCAGTTTTATAAAAGTGCATTCCTGAGATTTCCTGGCTGTTCTTCACCACTAACCACTGTGCTGCTTGTGCTTTGCAGTAGTCAATAAATAGACCTTATCTTGCTGCTTCTTCTTGTCTCCGTGACAAAGGTTGTCAAGAAATAATAAAAACTCACGTAAACTCCTGGGGGTTTGGTGCTGGAGTGCTGCCTAAACTTGTGCTTTCCATAACTTGAGGAAAGACAAGTTCCATTTCTTTTTGGTTTTAACTCACTAACGTGTCACTAGCCCTGGTCCTGAGTAGCATTTAGAGCAGCCCAGCCTGCAGTGCTTTAACCAGCAGAGTTTTGTCTCCTCCAGTGCAGGAGCAGTTGAAGGAAGAGGCTCAGCCTGTGCTGTGGGTCGTTTATGTCTTGCTTTGAAGTTTGTTCTGATCAGAATTTACCAAGTAGTGCCAATGGCAGCTCTTGCAGTTGGGCAGCTTTGGTGATTTCCCTGTGGGAATGCACAAGAGTGGGTTCAATGTTTGGCTTGAGACTTTTGCAGTCGAGAAAATCAAACCCCTTTCCTGCCTCAAAGTTCATTCCTGTAGAGATCCAGCTCTTCCATGAGCCTGGGATGGAGCTTTTCCCTTCAAAGTTTTCCCTAAAACTATCTTTGAATAGCAAACCAGAGCAGGGGGGAGAGGGAGTTGAAGTGGGACAGGTAAAATACTCTCTCCAGAGCTTTGTGGGCATCCTAAAGCTTTTAAATTATAAAAATAATGATAAAAATAATTGTCACTTGTCTGACACAGCACCAGAAATTGGCATCATTATTACAATCTTCCCATGAAGACTTCCCACCATGCTTGGAAGGTAAAATTTTTTAAGACAAGCATAAAAAAATTCCTGTTGTTTAAATAGGAATTCTGGTGACGTTGAAGCCTTTCTGACTCTCTGGAATACATAATGGCTTGTGTGGTGGAAATTACCTCTTAAATCCATTGGAGAACTAAAACCAGCTACAAAACCAGTTCTTGGGGAAGAAGCCCTGAGAGACACAACCTGTGGGGATGTTCCAGTTGTGTGGAGTGAGGAAAGGAAGCATGAAAATGGTTTGGTTAGTGAGATTGTAGCTGTCAGTGTCCAAACAAATGTACATGTTTTGCTTAAATAACAATATCCATCCTTGATATACAAACTTTTTGGTTTTTTAGGCTTCTTTTTCCCAAGTTCTTGGACCAGTGTTCCCAAGGTAGGTGTCACTTTTCCTGACTTGGTGCTCTGCAGAACAAGCAGCTGAGCCATGTGGCCAAATGAATACAGTTATATTATATATTTATGCTATAAATTCACATAGCCAAAGGATCATGATAAACTCTTGGAGAACAGACAATCTCTGCCTAAACTATCAAACATCACAGGCACCTGGAGAAGGTGGGAGATTCTGGAGCATGGTCCCTTCCCACCCAAACCATTCCATGAATTCCTGCTTCTGTGGAATAAGTTGAAGTGTCAAGAGCAGAAGCAGATTTGACAGTTGTTCTTTTGTGCAGCTGATGCACAACATTAAGACAGGACAGAACATTTCTTTTCAAGGTACCAGCTCTCTCTCCCTCTCAGCATAGAACACTTATTTTCAGGATGAAAATATGAGATATCACCACTGGACTGGTGAGAGAGATCAAGCCAGTAACAATATAGAAGCAAAATGACATTATTTATTAAAAGTAATTAAAAAAAAAAGCCCACAGGTAACTCAAATATATGCAGAGGTTTACATATTTTGCTGTATTTTCTGAAGAAGAAACTCTGCTTTTAAGTTTAGATTTAGCTGTCCATATATATGTGTGTATATATGTAAATGTATATATACATATATATGTATATGTATATTAACATGTATGTGTACATGTATGTGTAAATATATAGTATATATAATATATTATATATATTTATATATAATATATATAATATATATATTTACACACATATAGTATATATTATATTATATATATTATATTATTATATTATATATATTATATATATTATATATATTATATATGTATAATATATAATATATATATTTACACACATATATATTATATATTATATATAAGTATATATAATATATTATATATAATATATATTTACACATACATGTACACATACATACATATGTACACATGTGTGTATACACACACATATACATATATATGTATATGTGTATATATATACATATATACATATGTATGTATATATGTGTTTTTAAGTCACTGTTGTACTGCAGCTGGAAAGTATATAGATGCTGTATATAGATCATTATTTTATTTTTATTTGGAGGAAAATGTTGGTGCTGCAAATTGGGGAAAACTGTCCTGATTATAACCAGATTTGCAGAGGGAAGGAGAATATGAAGAATAGAAAGAATTATCAGTAACTACAGAGAAGTTAAAAGTGCAAGCATGCCTTTTTGTAGTGTGACAGAATAAAAAAGAAAAATAAAAATAATAGAATAAATGAAAATAATAAAGCTATCTTTTTATTTTTTTTTTAAAGTGATTTGTACAGACCTAATTGAGGGACAGTTTGTCCTTGTTGAAGGAGGAACTAGAAAATGCTCAGGACAGGCACAGCTAGTTTTCCTACAGTCAAAATGCTGGAAAAAAAAATTACAAATGCTGGAGGTTAGAGGAATATTCTACTGGCAGGGCATTATTTGTGCACACTGGAAAGTTTTGTCCTGTAGTTTTCAGGTACAGAATGTGACACTGGAGGGCCCTGCGTGTGAAGAAATCGTTTCCCATAAATAGGGGTAATTTTTTATGCAGGAAGTTTTAGGGGGAGAAGTGTGCTTGGAACTGAGATGGGGGACACTCCAGCTTTCCAGGCCAATGCAGAACTGTGTCATGTGTGGTGCAGGGAATTTAGTTCTGTGTAATTTATAGAACCGTGGAATGGTTTGGGCTGGAAGGAACCTTAAGGATCACAGAGTTCCAGCCCCCTGCCCTGGGCAGGGACACCTTCCACTAGCCCAGGTTGCTCCAAGCCCTGTCCAACCTGGCCTTGGACACTTCCAGGGATCCAGGGGCAGCCACAGCTTCTCTGGGTGATCTGAGATATCTCTCAACAGAGAGAATTCATTGTGATGGCACATAATTGAGAATTTAATTCTGGTGCAGCAATAGTGAGATTTACTGAGGCATTCACTTTGAGAGATACTGATCCTGCTTTTCCATAGGATATTCCATGAGTCTGAGTTGGAAGGGACCCACCAGGACCATCCAGTCCAACTCCTGACCCTGCCCAGGACACCCCAACAATCCCTCCCTGTCCCTGAGAGGGTTGTCCAAACCCTCCTGGAGCTCTGGCAGCCTTGGGGCCGTGCCCACTGCCCTGGGGAGCCTGGGCAGTGCCAACCACCCTCTGGGGAAATTCTTGGGGTGTTGTGCACCCCAGTATTGTTGTTTGTGTTCCTGTGCCACCAGTTGGGCCAAGGCAGTGTTGGGCATTGAACAAATCTGAAAACAGAAACTTGTAGGTGTAAAGAAAACCAAGTGTGGGCATAGGCAAGTAGGAATGAGTCAGACCTTTGGGATACCTACCTTGTCCACATAAGTATCTTGGAAAATTTGGGGGTGGGTGGGGTTTCCCTTGTGCTGCTGCTTTCCAGGTCTCTTCTGCTGTTGCTTTCTCTATAACAAAGGGGTCCCTGTGCACATTATTGATGTGACATCATTTTCCATGAGTTACATTCCTGTTTGGAAAGCCCCAAGAGCAGCAGAGACAGATGAGGATGGGGGCAGACTGACAAAGCCTCCAACAGAGTGACCAACAGGAGCAGTTTTGCTGTGCACATTTGGTTCACCTTTTCCAAAAAAATCCTGCCATCATCTCTGTGCTGTAATTCCCTTTTATCTCTCCTTTCTGCTCTTATTTAATTCTTTCCTTTCCTGCACAGAAGCTGTAACGTGACACCTTCCCAATCCAAGGGCACTTTGGCATCTCTTGTAAAACAGTTTCATATACAACACAAATTAAGACATCACCATTGTTAAATATGCCCATTGTACATTTGGGAGCAGAGAGGCTCCATTATTTTCCTAAAGCATATGTATTTTTAATCCATCCCTCCTGTTTTCTTTCCTGCTCCTATTGAACATGCTATTCCCCAGGCTGCAAGGAATTTTTTCTTTAGATCAGTGTATAAAGAATCAAACAAAACTGGGTGGTCTCCAAAATGCATCTCTTAGAAACAGGGATGGCAGTGACACTTTAAATAGGAATGGTTTGGGTTGGAAGGGACCTCAAAGACCATCCCATTCCACCCCCTGCCATGGGCAGGGACACCTTCCACTATGCCAGATTGCTCCAAGCCCTGTCCAACTGGTCTTGGATGCTTCCAGGATGGGATTATGAGCTGATTCATACTTTATCTTATTCATACTTCAGCTTATTCATACTTTTCATTTTAATTGCATGATTAATATCCCCGAACTTGATATCATTTCAAGCCTGCACATAACTTAAATTTTGAATCATACTTGCTGTTCTTCCTCCTTCAAAAGCAACTGGATATTGGAGAGGACATGGATGTTCGTGAAGTTGGAGTGGAGACCTCTGTGGGGGTTTAAAAAAAGGAGAAATACAATGATGGAAATTTGTTTGAGGCGTTATGAAAATTTGAGTTTGAAAGGGTCAGTGATGGAAGGAGCAGTGATGGGGAGCATATGGTGCAATATAAGTGCCCCAGAAGTACTTGGTGCAGGAATTTCTGTGTGAAGAAGCCTCTGCAGGGCTTCTGTGAAGGCCAGGAATAGCTGCAGGCAGCAGATGATGGGGTGAACTCCATTACATCTTCTTTAAATGGTGATGGGGGCAGGGGAATTAAATCCTGCTTCAGCTGTTCCTGGATGCTGGAGAGTTTCTGTTCTGCCTTACAGCAAAGTGTCTCAACTGAGCTGCACACCTTGAGCAAAGAAATAACAGTCACCCTAAAATCAGAGGATCATTTAGGTTGGAAAAGCCCTCTGAGATCATCAGGTCCAACCATCAGGCACGGTCACCACTAACCCATGTCCTTCAGTGCCACATCCACAGTTTTTTTAGCACTTCCAGGGATGGTGATTCCACTGCTGCCCTCAGCAACCAATTCCAGTGCTTGACAACCCTTTCCATGAAGAAATGTTTCCTAATGTCTAATCCAAACCTCCCCTGGCACAACTTGAGGCCGTTTCCTTTACGTTTCCTCTCCTTTCCTTACACATTCTGGACCATCTTGACATCCTGGGGAGTCCCAAAGTGTTGGCACTGCAGTGTCTGTGGGGGAACTGGGCTGAAGCTCCACTCATGTATAATTGGGAAGCAGGGATCCTGTAACACTGAAATTAATTGGATTTTTTTCTCTGTTATCTTGTTGATGCCTCGTGGGTTCACACGTGTTGTCTGAACACCATTTCGGGGTCTTTCTTGAAAGACAAGAAATAACCCCAAACCCTTCTCTTGTTTTTAAAAGTGGCAGCTGTCAGAGTCCAAAATACTGCTTTTTAGCTGTTTAGCCTCTTTACTGCACGTTGAATTCACCAAGAGGCTTTACATGTTCGTGGTTTCTGTTAACACAGTCCTGCTCAAATTGATTCTTGTATGAATTTGTTATTTTAATTAATTGAGTCTTTTGATTGAGTCTGAATTGCCTCTGTTAGATGAAAGGTACTTTGCTTGGTTTTTTGTTCTTGTTGTTCTTTTTTTTGCTCTTTAATAACTGGAGGCAGTGAGAGGGAAGGGAAATAAGAGAAGAATGGCTGATGTATCACTTAATCATTTCTTTATCGCTGCTTACATGTAAATTATGCTCTGATTTCCTTCCCCAGGACTAGTGAGTAATGTGGTTTTCACAAGTCATGCTACAGAGCAGAGACATCCCCTCCTTGTGCAGCTGCAGGGCCTGATCCGAGCAGCAAATCCTGCTGTTTCCTTCATCCTGGCAGAGAATGGAATTGTAACAAGGTACCAGTGATCCCTGTCCAAAATTTATCACTTTTGGCAGATGGGACACGAGCACTTAAAAACTCGTGTTCTCCTGTTTTATTCTGGTGATTTATAGGAAGGAAATGCAGATTTTTCTTAATTGCTTCTCATCCAAAAGGGGTTTTCCCTTTACATTTCTGGCCATATAAATACAGGGATTAGGAAGTGGGGTTTGTTTGCAGAGTGTGATTTATGTTACTGCAACTGCCACACTAGAGGAAAAATACTCTTAATTTTGGTGTCACTAACACATTATGTTTTATGTAAGTAGGTAGTGGCTATTTTATGGAACTTATAAAATTAAAAATCTTCATCTTTATCTCCTTACAGGAACGAGGATATTGAATTAATTCTCTCAGAAAGCAGTTTTTCAAGTCCTCAGATGATGAGAGCTCGATATTTAATGTACCCTGGCTGGCAAGTATCTAGACTGAGAAGCATGAAAACTATTTTTCCAATTAACTTGAAGATTCAAATGTTTCACTGCCTTCATTTATACTTATTTTTTTTCACTCACTTGGAACAGGCAGCAGCTTTGTAAATCATTTTTAAGGCAGCTGATGAGTTTTCTTAGCGGGTACACGATTGCCACCCTTTTATGGGGGAAAAGGCTCCTTTCTGGACACCATTTAAATCAAGGGCAAGATTACTGTTGCTTTCCAGAAGAATGGGAAAGAACCCTCTGGGAATAAGCTGGGAAGGCTTGGGATGGGTGAGGTCAGTAATGACTGGAGTAATTTCACCCTGACAGCTCTTCAGCCTTTCTGGAATGAACCCGCTCTGTCAGTGGAGCCATTAACAGAACAATTATTCATAAAAGCCAGGACCTCAGTGACAGCCTTGGCACAGGCTGAGGGCACAGAACCACGTGGCACCAAGATTGCCATTGAACTCCGAGGAGATTTTTCATGGATCAGGGCTCTTTACACATCTTGTTGCAGTTATCTGTGCTGCACCTTTTTTGGCAGGAATATAAACCTGTCAGCCCTCATAACTCCTGGCTCCAGTGGTGGCTGTGCTGGAAACGTGATTTATTGCTCATACCTTGCCAGGCCTGGATTTGTGTGTGTGTCTTTTGATTCATAAATCTGGTTGTAAATTGGAGGCTCCTGGAGAAGACTGGCACAAAGCTTGGGAGATGTTGGAGCTGCTGGTGGATTGTGTGGAGCCAAAGGGAGAGGGAGAGAAAGCAGGCAAAGAAAGTATTTCATGGAATCATAGAATCTGATTCTATTTAAAACTTTTGGGCAGCTGTTGATCTGTTTGATGACAGTATGAAAGAATTATGTGGGTAGTGTGTTAGGAAAAGGAAAAGGCAGCAGGAAGAGCATCAAAATATCCAGGGAGATCTTTTTGCAACCTTCCAGTACTTCAACTGGGCTCATGAAGGAGAGGAAGAGTGACTTTTTACATGGGTAGATGGTGGTAGGGCAAGGGAGAAGGGTTTTAAAGTAAAAGAGGAGGTTTAGATGGGATATTGGGAAGGAATTCCTGGCAGGGAGGGTGGGGAGGCCCTGGCACGGGTTGCTCAGAGAAGCTGTGGCTGCCCCTGGATCCCTGGAAGTGTCCCAGGCCAGGTTGGAGCAACCTGGGCTAGTGGAAGGTGTCCCTGCCCATGGCACTGGCTTGGAAATGATCTTTAAGGTCCCTTCCAACCCAAACCATTCCTTGGCTCCTCCATGAAAAGGAGCCCTGAGCACTTTGAGCACCCTGACCCTGTTGACGCCACATTTTCACGAACATCTTGGAGAAGAAAGCTCGGCGCTTTCCTCCCTGGGTGGGAGGGAACAGATGTTCCTTTGAAGCAGTTTGGAGGGTGAAAGGCACCAGCTCAGGTGTTTTCTTTGTTTCTGGGTTTGTTTCTGCCCCAGGTACGAAGGCAAATACGGGGCTGGGCCCGTGTTCCCCCCCATGGTGCAGATCTGCGTGTGGTTCAGCCGCCCCCTGGAGAAGACCCGATTCGTGACCAAATGCAAAGGTAGAGCTGAACTTTGCCCCACTTGACTGAAATCCAGCCTTGAAATCCCGAGGAGCAGAGGGGAAGGAAGGCACTGACGTTAACACAGTTATTTACTTACTGCCCAAGTCAACCTTTAATTGAGAATTCAGCTTTCCTTCCTAAAAAAAGTGCAGTAAATTCTGTTCCTCGGTGTCTGCTCGGGAAAACTGACACATGATTTCGTTCAGATAAAAATCTAATTTAGTTCTTGGTTTTTAGGACTGAGACAGTTGTGCTTTTTTTAAATTTTTTTTTTATTTGCCATTTATTTTTTATGTTTAATTTTATGTGGTGGTGTTGAAATACAGTTTGTAAGTGACCATCGGCTTCTGCTTTTTCTGCCAAATAATTCTTTGTAGCTACTGGAAATTAGGCTGAGCTCTGTTTTAGGCAGATAGGGTAGATATATAATCATGCCTTTCCTCGGCCAAGCAGTTTAAGGAGGACCATTTTACTTCCCACACACACTGAAAGCACTTCCTTGTGCCAAATACGTGATATTTCCCAAACCCCAGAGCAGAGAAATGAGAACACAGAGAAATGTTATATGGTGGAACTCAAGGGACACAGCAGCTTTTCCCTTGGAAGCACTGGGGTGTGGATTAGGGATCAGTAGCTGAGGTCTGAGCAGAAGCTGCACCAAGGAGAAGGAAAAATAAGTGAGATAATGTATTTTTCTTCTGTTTCAAACAGCCATTAAGTCGTTGCTCAAGCCAAGCCCTTTTTCTGGGAACATTTATCACATCATGGGCAAAGTGAAGTTTTCAGGTAGGAGCAAATCACTACTGAAGGGTTGGTTTGGGATCTCAGTATATGCATTTAAGAACTTATTTCTGTGCTGTACTGTGACTGTTGATGTTAAATGAGATCAGCAGTTACCAGGGCATTTCTTCCTTCTGCCTTCTCCTTGTTAGACTCTGACAAAGTGATCGAGGTCTGTCACAACACCTCGTCCAATTCCCTGAGCCTGCTGCCTGTCCAGGAGGGGCCAACTCCTCCTGACTCCAGAAATGATCCCAGAGACTGCAGCAGTCAACAGGAATACTTCCTTGTGTTCATTGGCTGCTCCCTGAAGGAAGAGGATATCAAAGATTGGCTCAGAGAAACTGCAAAACAGGTTTGTGGGCAGGTTTCCTTTTGCTTCAGCCTTTGGCATTTCTTCACAACGAAAGAAATCCGAGTGTCTCCACGAAACATTTGTATTTTTAATCTCTTTTTAATTCTACCAAGGCGTTGCCATTCTAGGGTGCAAATGTATTTCACAAAGGGGGACTACCAGTTTCTGTAATTGCTGTATTGTTTTAGGGCTTGCTGCAGCTCATTCCTGGATTGATGTGCTCCTGAATGCTGGAGCAATGTGGATTCTGTCCAGGACAAACACAGGATGATGTAGCTGAGCTGTGATTGCCAAGAGCTCGAGTGTGGGGTGAAATAAATCTCCTTCAAGTACCTGAACGCTGCAAAGCAGAACATTTGTTTTGATTCACTAAATGAAACCTCCTTGGAAGTAATCCACTGGAATGGAGGGTTCTGCTCACTTTGTCACCCTCAATTAGCCAAGTGTGCAGCTCTGGAAGGCTCCCTGGGTTTCTGCATGGCTGCTGTGCCACTGCAGTAGGAGCTGGGGGAGGGAACAGGGAACGTGCACCTTGGCAGGAGCCCAGAAGGCACAGTTTGCACACAGTGATTGATAGAATCTTAAATTCACAGAATTACAGGATGGTTGGGTTGGAAGGGACCTTAAAGACCAGCTCATTCCAACCCCCACACCTTCCACCAGCCCAGGTTGCTCCAAACCCCATCCAACCTGGCCTTGGACACTTCCAGGGATGAGGCAGCCACAGCTTCTCTGGGCAACCCGTGCCAGTGGAAATTTTGGAAAATTTATTAATTTAAAATACTCATGATTACTTCTTTTTGCCTTAGGATTTGTATATTATTTCTAAAAATTTGCATAGGAAGGGAAAATGTTTCCTGCAAACTGTTGGAGCAGTTTTTAAGGATCCTCAGGTTCTCACCTCAGTTCTGGCAGGTTGTGTCCCTTCAGGGAAGTCATGGATTTTTTTGGGATTGTCTCATGCTCTGCCCTTCTCACAGGGGGAGCACATGGAAAGAATTGCTCTCCCACTCTTAACTTTAACACTCTTAACTTTAGGAAAACTTGGGACTTAAATGCTTATCTCAAGTGTGAAGTGTTTCCTCTTTGAGCAGTTCAAGACAATAAATAGTCTTTACAATCTCCCCAGTCCTGGCTAATTTAGGGTTTTAGGTAGTTCTGAGAGTTACCACTTTGCTGCATGAAAGAAAGGAATTGCAGAACTTCTCAGGCTCAAAATGAAGTTGTTCTTCTGTCCCTGTGCCAGCTTCCTTCATTTCTTACACTAAAGCTGCATTTAAATTACATTGTTTAAAATATATGCAGAATTTTTCTTTTCTAAGTGCTTTTTGTAAAATCAGTGAATTTTTACTTTTGCTTTCACAACATTGTTGTGAGCACCTCACTATAATTTTAGAAATTAATGTTTGATCTATTTTGGGTTGGTTTTGGGGGTGGTTTTTTGTGGATTTTTTTTTTTTTTTTAAAACTAACTAAACTGTGCTGTCACATTGTCACTCAGTAGTTGTGCAACTGTCTAATTCTTCCTACAGAAACCTCAGAGGAAAGCCCTGAAAACCAGAGGAATGCTGACCCTTCAGGAAATAAAGAACATTCACGTGAGTAGAAGCAGTTCCTTACAAGCCCCTTTTTTTGGCCGATTTCCTTAAATATCCATCTGGATGACAGAGCACCTGCCACAAGTGTGCTGAGCACTGAATTATTACAGCACTTACTGTCTTTGGAGATCCTTGGAACACAACTGGATTGGAGATATAAATCTCAGAGCTTCCAGTTCCTCTGGAAAGCAGGAGGAGCTGTAAAATCTTGGCCATCTGTAACAGTCTTTCCATTTTAATTTTACCTAATCAAATCTTTTAAGGCCTGTGTCTGCCCAATTCCCAGTTTGAAGTGTTTCATTTGTGGTATTTATTCCCTAAATGCAGGTGAAACGTCACTTGGATCCGCTCCCAGCTGGTTATTTTTACAACGGGACTCAATTTGTGAACTTCTTTGGTGACAAAATGGATTTTCATCCCTGTATCCTTTCAAAAACGGGGGGTTTGGGGGAAGGTTTTGAGTTGTGCAGTGTCAAAGCACACGTGGGAAAGAGCCAGCTCCTTGCCACTTAAAGCTCAGGGTTGAATTTTTCAGAGATAAGATCTAAGAAGCAGAATAGAACCAACGAAACAATCCCCAAAGTGCTCATGAGCTCACTCAGGGAATAATTTATGGGCCACAGCTTGTCAGAGGAATATTTTTCAACCCAAATTGGGCTGTAATATCCCTAAGTGCCTGGGCATGATTGATAAAGCTTTCAAAAGAATGGAATTTTGTCTGTGCACACACTCCACTGAAAACAATCGTATTTTTGTCTTTAATATTATTACTCTGGCATTTCTTGCCAGTGTTCCAGTGTATTCCTGTTCTTGTTCTCCACTTGGGGACGTGGGTCAGTGGTGGCCTTGGCAGTGCTGGGTTGATGGTTGGACTTGATCTTAGAGGGCTTTTCCAACCTTAATGATTCTGTTATTCTCTCATTTTCTTCACTGCCCATCGCTTTTGTCTTTGTTTTATTACTGATTTCCCGTTTGGTTTTATATTCCAACTTGACTTTTCGCCGTAATCCAACAAAGTTCACGAAAATCCAAGTGGCTTCTGTGACGCTGCTTTGGAATAAGAGCAAACAGTTATTTTCTGTGTCCTATGGGACAACATAAAAAATTAAAACAGCAGACTTGGACTTCAGGATTCACTGGAAAAGTTAGGGATGTTTATTCCTGGAAGTGTCCAAGGCCAGGTTGGACAGGGCTTGGAGCAACCTGGGTTAGTGGAAGGTGTCCCTGCCCTTGGCAGAGGGTGGAACTGGATGATCTTTAAGGTCCTTTCCAACCCAAACTACTCTGGAATTCTGGGATTCTTTATTCCCCCTCCACCTTGGTGTTTGGCAATGAAAGCTCCAGGCCCTGGTCAATCCTTTCAGCGGGATTTGAATTTTAGGCAGAAATTTTTGGACTTCTGTATCACCAAAATACCTGTAAATACATTCACAGAGTGATGGGGTGGTTTGGGTTGGAAGGGACTTTATGGACCATCCAGTCCCACCCCCTGCCATGGGCAGGGACACCTTCCACTAGCACAGGTTGCTCCAACCTGACCTTGGACACTCCCAGGGATCCAGGGGCAACCACAGCTTCTCTGCCCAACCTGTGCCAGGGCCTCCCCACCCTCCCAGCCAGGAATTCCTTCCCAATATCCCATCTAACTCTGCTGTAGTTCTTATATCCTTCCTCCTGCCTGGGAAGTATCCCTTGTGCAGCCCCTTTTTTTTCCCTGGTCCCACAGTAGTTGTGCTCAGCTCTGACTGCACGACTCCAGAAGGTCATATATTGAATTCCTGCTTTCCCTGAGCATCCCTGACCTGCCACATCCTTCAAACCTGGATGTTTTTTTACTAAATGCCATTTGCACTGATGTTTTCCCTTAATTTTTCCCAAGTAATGGACCAATTCATGAACGATTACCTGGAAGAAGCCAACAGGGAGATCGAGAAGTACAACAGGGAGCTGGAGGAGCAGGAGTACCACGACCTCTTTGAGCAGAAGACATAAAGCACGTGGGTCCTGGGGGTTTCCAAACCACCCAAAATGCTCTTTGTCCTTGCTGGGTCACTAGAATTCGAGGGAATTGTCTGTTTGTTCAGCACTCCTTTCCAAACTAAGAGATCATTCCTGTAAGGTTGGCGTTTAACACGGGATCTGCTTAGCTGTGTGTCCTGTCAGGTTTGCTTCCACTTCACCTGAATTCCAGACTGTCCAAAGCATCACCTGGAATCTCTGGGGGGGGGGGTTGTGGGGACTTGTTCAAAAGAAGAACGAGAAGAAGAAGAAAAAGAAGCAAAACTTTATTTATTTCCTGTAGTTGGGAATGTAATCGTGGAATTGGGCTTTGTGCAGAGAATCAAACTGCTCTGGGTGTCCCTTGGGATTTGTGGCACAGGAGCATCGATGAGCAGTGCTGGATATCAGGATGTGGGATTGGGGGTGTTCCCAAAGCCAGAAATGGGGGAACACTTACTCAGAAAAGTCCCCAATCCCACAGCTGTGGGGTGTTCCCAAAGCGAGAAATGGGGGAACATTGGGAAAAATATAGAAGAGTCCCCAGTCCCACAGCTTTTAGGATGTTCCCAAAGTGAGAAATGGGGGAACGATTCAAAAACTTGGAATCCCTAAACCTACAGCTGTGGGGTGTTCCCAAAGCGAGAAATGGGGGAACACTGGGAAGAACTCTGAAGAGTCCCCAGTCCCACAGCTTTTAGGATGTTCCCAAAGTGAGAAATGGGGGAATGATTCAAAAACTTAGGATCTGTAATTCTGCAGCTGCCGGGATATTCCCAAAGTGAGAAAAGAGGGAACAGTTACTCAAAAGAGACCCTAATCCCACAGCTGTCAGGGTGTTCCCAAAGGGAAAAATGGGGGAATAATTAAAGAATTTAGAAGAATAACTAATCCCACTGCTGTTGAATGTTCCCAAAGTGAGAAATGGGGGAACAATGGGAAGAACTCTGAAGAGTCCTCAATCCCACTGCTGTTGGGATGTTCCCAAAGTGAGAAATGGGGGAACATTTCAAAAACTCAGAATTCCTAAACCTGCAGCTGTTGGGGCATTCCCAAAGCGAGAAATGGGGGAGTGATTCAAAAATTTAGAATCCCTAAATCTGCAGGTGTGTCAGGGTGTTCCCAAAGCGAGAAATGGGGGAACAGTTACTTGAAAAAGTCCCTACTCCTGCAGGTTTTAGGGTGTTCCCAAAGTGAGAAATGGGGGAACAGTGGGAAAAAGACAGAAGAGTCCCCAATCCCACAGCTGTCAGGGTGTTCCCAAAGCGAGAAATGGGGGAACACTTCCTTGAAAGGATCTCCTTGTCCCACAGCTGTGGGGTGTTCCCAAAGCGAGAAATGGGGGAACACTGGGAAGAACTCTGAAGAGTCCCCAATCCCACAGCCATTGGAATGTTCCCAAAATGAGAAATGGGGGAACAATAGGAAAAATGCAGAAGAGTCCCTGATCCCACAGCTTTTAGGTTGTTCCCAAAGTGAGAAATGGGGGAACAGTGGGAAGACACAGAAGAGTCCCCAGTCCCACAGCTGGCAGGATGTTCCCAAAGCGAGAAATGGGGGAACATTTGAAAACCTCGGAATTCCTAATCCCACAGCTGTCAGGGTGTTCCCAAAGCAAGAGACTGGGGAACAGTTGAAACATTTCTATAGAAGAGTCCCTAAACCTGCAGCTGTCGGGGTGTTCCCAAAGCGAGAAATGGGGGAACAATGGGAAGGACTCTGCAGAGTCCCCAATCCCACAGCTGTCAGGGGGAGAAATGGGGGAATAACTAAAAAATTTAGAAGAATAACTAATCCCACAGCTGTTGGGGTTGTTCCCAAAGCGAGAGATGGGGGAACATTTTAAAACCTCAGAATTCCTAATCCCACAGCTGTCAGGGTGTTCCCAAAGTGGGAAATGAGGGAACAGTTACTCAGAAGAATCCCTAATCCCACAGCTTTTAGGTTGTTCCTAAAGTGAGAAATGAAGGAACAATTCAAAAACTTAGAAACCCTAAATCTACAGCTGTCAGGGTGTTCCCAAAGCGAGAAATGGGGGAACAGTAAGAAAAACGTGGAAGAGTCCCCAATGCCACAGCTGTCAGGGTGTTCCCAAAGCGAGAAATGGGGGAATGTTTTAAAAATTCCTAAACCTACAGCTGTTGGGGTGTTCCCAAAGCGAGAGTAGGGGGAACATTTGAAAACTCAGAATCCCCAATCCCACAGCTGTTGGGGTGTTCCCAAAGCGAGAGATGGGGGAACAATTCAAAAACTTGGAATCCCTAAACCTACAGCTGTGGGGATGTTCCCAAAGCGAGAAATGGGGGAACAGTGGGAAAAACGTGGAAGAGTCCCCAATCCCACAGCTGTCAGGGTGTTCCCAAAGTGGGAAATAGGGGAACAATGGGAAGAACTCGGAAGAGTCCCCAGTCCCACGGCTTTTAGGTTGTTCCCAAAACGAGAAATGGGGGAACAGTGGGAAAAACCCAGAAGAGTCCCTGATCCCACAGCTGTGGGGTGTTCCCAGAGTGAGAAATGGGGGAACACTTACTCAGCTGAGTCCCTGATCCCACAGCTTTTAGGTTGTTCCCAAAGTGAGAAATGGGGGAACATTTTAAAAATTCCTAAACCTACAGCTGTTGGGGGAAATGAGGGAACACTTTACTCAGAAAAGTCCCCAATCCCACAGCTGTGGGATGTTCCCAAAGCGAGAAATGAGGGAACATTGGGAAAAATATAGACGAGTCCCCAATGCCACAGCTGTCAGGATGTTCCCAAAGCGAGAAATGGGGGAACATTTTAAAAATTCCTAAACCTACAGCTCTGGGGTGTTCCCAGAGTGAGAAATGGGGAAACACTCACTCAGAAAAGTCCCCAATCCCACAGCTGTGGGGTGTTCCCAAAGCGAGAAATGAGGGAACATTGGGAAAAATATAGACGAGTCCCCAGTGCCACAGCTGTCAGGATGTTCCCAAAGCGAGAAATGGGGGAACATTTTAAAAATTCCTAAACCTACAGCTGTGGGGATGTTCCCAAAGTGAGAGATTGGGGAACACTCACTCAGAAAAGCCCCCAGTCCCACAGTTTTTAGGTTGTTCCCAAAGCAAGAAGTGAAGGAACACTCCAGCCCTGCACAGCCCTCGGAGGTCTCACCCTCTGCACAGTTTGATCTGCACTCGAAATTCCCACTTTTCTAAAGGAAAGGTTTTTATACATTTCGGGGGGGGGAAATCCTGATTTCTTCCCAGTGCTCTTTTTGGGGTTCCAGGAAATATTCCATGGCTGGGCTGCACCCACACCTTGCTGTTGCTTATTCCGGTCCTTCTAAGCCAGGCGAGGGAAGAGGGAGATCCTTTAGCTGAAGGATTCCCTTTCGTGGAAAACACTGATTTCCAAAGGTAAAAAAACAGGAAAGGACGGACTTGAAACAGGGAGGAAGTTTTTCGTGGGGCTTCCAGAAGGATTTGATATAAATCAACTTTTATAGTTCCTAAATGCTACGACAGGAATGTTGGCAGCTTGTCCTAACTTAGTTTAATTTTAAGTCAGGCCTTTGTAAATCACTGACTGAAGGTTTATGAAGTACCTCAACAGCTACTTACAGGTATTAATTACAGGTATTAATTAGTGGAGCTTATTGGAATGAGCAGATGGTGTGGTCAGAATTTAGGTGGGAAGAGCCCAGGAAAGGTTTTTAATTTTCATAGTCCTGCCCCTGAGGGACAGTTCAGTCTTTTAATACGACTGTAACTTTTATTTTTTTGGTCAGATCTGTGTAAAACAGTGAGAAATGGACTGAAAAATCTCTTAAAGTGTTTAAAATACTTCCAAAGTGTCTGCACAATCGCGTTCCATGGCAGGAAAATGGGATTTAAGCATCCAACCTAAGGCTGATTCCAGTTTATGCCTCGCTTAAGAGATGGATTTTTTTACCTTTGGAATACGAGATGGCTGAAATTTCAATAACCTGAAACACCTTTCAGGTGGTTTCAGCCCTTTTAGGTGGTTTCACCCTGGAATTCCAGGTGCTGCAGGCTGGGATGGAGACGTCGCTAAGGTTTCATTCCCAGTTTTCCCTCCCTAGATCTAAAAAGCCGAATTTAGGACTTTATTATTTTAAGGGTTTTTTTTTGCACACCACGAGACTTTATATAAACTCCTTGTGTCCTGTTAGAGGCCAGTAAAAGCCAGCAATTAGTTTGTGTTTTAGGCTTCCCGGGATATTCCCTGGATCCCAGGGGTGGAGCATCCTGAGAAGGCTCGTGAGTTTATCTATGCATGGCTGAACTTTATAGTCTTAATATCCTGTAGTGCCTGTAGAGCAAAGGTAGCAAAGCAGTGGATTTAGGGGGGGAGGGAGGGGGGCTGGCAGGTGTTCACAGCTAAAACAGATGGAATCATTGATTCCAGAATTCCTGGAGTTATCCAGTCCTGGCTGCAATAAAAAGGGGGCGTTAGGGAATCGAAATCAAACTGAGAGTTTGTGTCGCCGATAAAAGTCATCGACCTGCTCCTTTCCAGCCCCGGTTGTCTCATCTGCAAAGCCATATTTCTAGAGTTAGTGGGATGACTGTGTCATGTCAGAAGAAATTCCAGAGGTCGGGACTTTGTGGGGGAGGCTTTGTCTCGACTCCTGAGTAAAAAAAAAAAAAAGAGTAGATTTAAGTGCAATTGTTTGAAAAATAGATGAAGATGCTGTAGCTGCTGGGGCTCTGCTGAACTCTTTTTAAGAACTCCAATTTGTGCAAGCTCTCAAATCCATGCTGATGGGGCTGATCCGAGCTGGGATTCCGAAGCCCCGTGAACAAAAAAAAAAAAAAGAAGAAGAAAAGGAAATAGATATTGAAAATTGGGTGTTTTTACTGTGCAAATTGAGCTGTTCCTTAAAAACTGGAGCAGGAGAGCTCGGAATAAAGGCCTAGTATCCTTCTCTGCTGTGCTGCATGTTCATGGTCATAGCTGTGTATTTAC